CAGCGCCCATCGAATGCCAAGCGTGCACTCCACCAGCCAGCAAGTCCAAATCTGCAACACCTCCCACCTATGCCCAAGGAGAGGCACCGAGCCGGCTTCAGCACAGACAGAACGGGGAGAAGCCAAATATTCTTCTGAATGGGACACAGGCATAGCAGAGTTTAGCTGGCCAGCGCAGCCAGGCTTCTGTGCAAAATCCCAGAGGTTTCCCTCACGCTGTGTAGCATCCTCCTGAGAGAGGACGGCCAGGGCGTTGAGCTCTCTCCCTGCCCACAGCTCCTCCTGGCAGCCTGTAATCAGCGGCGTGCAGCCCAGGCAGCTCACAGTCCCGCTATCAGGACCCAGAAAGAGCGGGAAGTTAATCATTAAGATTCCTTTTAAGCAAAAGACATAAACTTCGCTCCTGTCACTGCTGGCCCCACACGGCCAGTGGGAAGGGAGCCGCTGGCTGCTGGGACGCCGGACGCGGGGAGGTGATGGGACTCGCCGAGGCAGGCCTGGAGGAGATGCGGAGCAGGCCCTGCCCCAGTGGCGCAGCACACGGTGGAAAGACCTTGTCCATCACAGAGGATGAACCAGGCCAGGCATAGTGGCTCACAGCTGTAATCTCAGCACTTTGGGAGGACGAGGCGGGTGGGTCCCCTGAGGTCAGGAGTTTGAGAATAGTCTGGCCAACATGGAAAAACCCCGTCTCTAGTAAAAATACAAAAATTAGCCAGGTGTGGTGGTGGGCACCTGTAATCCCAGCTACTCTGGAGGCTGAAGCAGGAGAATCGCTTGAACCCGGGAGGCAGAGGGTGCAGTGAACTGAGATTGTACCATTGCACTCAAGCCTTGGCGATAGAGTGAGACTTTGTCTCACCAAAAAAAAAAAAAAAAACCGAAACAAAAAAGAATGATCTTGACTTGTGAACATGACTGAGACGAAGCCAGTTCAGAGGCTGTGGAAGAGGGCACCATGCGAGTTGGGCGGTGCCTGGGGGAGGAAGGTCTGCAAGACTGGAGCCAGGAAGGATGGGCTGGGAGAGAGGATGCCGGGAGTGGGAGGGGTCAGGGAGTGGGAGAGAGGATGCTGGGAGTGGGAGGGTCTGGGAGGGGGAGAGAGGTGGGAGAGAGGATGCTGGGAGTGGGAGGGTCTGGGAGTGGGAGAGAGGATGCTGGGAGTGGGAGAGAGGATGCTGGGAGTGGGAGGGGCCGAGGGTGGGAGGGGGCAAGGAGAGGGAGAAGAGGGGTTCTGGGTGGAAGGATTGGGGAGCAGGAGGAGGGGAATCCTGCAGCTGGAGGGGCCACAGCTGTGCGCAAGGTGAGCACTTCCCAGGCAGCTCTCTGAAGGCTAAAGGGCGACCCCTAAGTACCCTGGATGTCCCCGGAATAGCCATGTGAGCCCAGAACCCACACATGCCATGTGACAGGACCTCGTCCAACCACAGTCACATCTGGGCTTTTCTCCATCAAGAGTGAAAAAGGCAAACACTTTAGAGACTCCCGACCTCGGGTCTCCTCCCACCTCCACTTCCAGCTGCTGGGAAGCTGCCAGGGTGCAGGTTGTTCTCCGAAACTCATTCAGGAAGAATCTGTTCCCTGGGCTTCTCGAAGTGAACCGGCCACCTCTGAACCACCCGAGGGTGGGTCAGAGCTCAGCAGGCCCAGGAGCTGAGGACGCTGCTAATGCCTCGGGTCCTCGCCTGCCACCAGGCAGCTCCCGAATGCTGACCCCGAAGGCCGCTGTCCCGTTTCCTCTGTCTCTTTACAGGAAAACGGGGGCGGAAATGAAATGTTAGGGCCGGTGGACACTGGCCTTTCAGCATCTCCCAAAGATGAGAGGGGCTCTCCGTCTCTGATTATGACTGCTTCTGTGACATGTAAGGCACAAAAATTATCCTGTGAGGTCGGACACCAGAGAAACCCACGGGCACTGGGCTGTCTGGAGGATATTTTAAGGTATTTTCTTATAACATACTGGAGTTTCTTTTTTTCTTTTCTTATTTAATTTCCCTTTATTTATTTTGTATTATTATACTTTAAGTTCTGGGGTACATGTGCACCACTGCAGACTGGATACACAGGTATACATGTGCCATGTTGGTTGTTGCACCCATCAACTTGTCATTTACATTAGGTATTTGTCCTAATGCTCTCCTTCCCCCAGCCCCCCAGCCCCCGACAGGCCCCGGTATGTGATGTTCCCCTCCGTGTCTCCAAGTGTTCTCATTGTTCGGCTCCCACTTATGAGTGAGAACATGCGGTGTTTGGTTTTCTCTCCTTGTGTTACTTTGCGGAGAATCTTTATTTGGGAATTGCATTTCTATAATCTGATCATGTTTTGCTTTGCGCATGTGTCACTGCAGTTTCCCCACACAGCTGCTCGTGCTGTCCCTGGACACTCTGGCTGGAAGGCGGAGGTGGAGGGACTGGCCTGAGCCCTGGTTTTCGTTCTGGCCCTGCAACTGAGCCACTCGGTGACTTTGGAAAAGTGACTCAGCTCTCATCTCTCAGGTTTCTGAATGAAAAATAAAACGGGCCGCTGCTGGACTCACAGGCCATCGGGAGGATGAAAACACACGCGTGATTGCCGCATGGTGGCTGTGACGTGAACAAGCATTTGATACCAGGTGAAGACGTGGAGGACCCCAAATCTGAGACTAAGTTTGGAAGGAGATGAGACAACTGGGTTGTGTGGTCCCCCCAGCCCAGCGCCATGTCGCAGAGGCTCCGTGTGGTCACCAGGCCAGCAATGGCAATGTCACCTGCACACTCTGCCCCTGGGGGAGCCCAGTCCCCATGCTGTGATCTCGCTCATCCACCCAGCACACCCGGGGTTCCGAGTGGAGGCCCCTGTGGAATTTAAGACCTGTTCATCCCACCTACAGAGGTGCTGGTTGCTGTCTGTATTTCTGTATTGATGGTGGCCATGGGGGGCTCCTTGCTGCTCTCCAGGTCTCCGTCCAGTTTGGGACTCCATTGTCCCTCCCACGGGTCTCCGCTTTCTCACACCCAGCTCCTCCTCCTCTCCCACTTCCTTTATCATCTTCACTTGAGGTCCTGGCCTCCTCAGGATAGCAACCCTCAGCTCTGCAGACCAGACAAAAGGGCAGGTGTGGTCTGGGAGAGTTTCTTGATCTGAATTCCATAAAGATTCATTTTTATGCAGTGGTGTATGTGTGTGCTCGCGCGCGCACACATACACACACACTGCCTCTTTGAAAAGGCTTCAGGCTGGAAGATAGCTGCCCTTGGTGTGTGGAGGGCAAGAGCTGTACGGGGTGGTACAAGGTTTCTCTCCCAAACCCATCATTGCCACAACCACTCCAGCGCAAAACCGTGTAGACGCTCTTCTGGCAGGCACTGCATTCCAGGAGCCGGTCCTTACCCTAGCGAGAGGCCGACGTCCATGGCTGGAAGCAACCTCTGCTCCTGGTGCTGGCACAGTCGGAGCATCATGGACCACATTTGCTTTGGGGAGGGAAAGAACTTCTGGAGCCTGCATCTCTGGTACCCAGGTGACAGCAGACCCAGCCATGTCACTGCAGCCAGGCCGTGCTTGGCAGCTTTAGGGAAACAAATTAGCAGACGACTGCAGGGTCCAGGGACTTAGCAAGCTGCCTCCAGGGCAGAGGAATCAAAAGACAGATTTGTTTGTTTATTTGTTATTTTTCTGGCCCTGGCTTCAATTCCCATACACAGAACTTGGCTGTGGGATTCTTTAAAAAAATCATTCTATTCTTGGATTTTAAGCCATTATTAAAATTCTATTGTATTTTTTTCATCTGTTTATCATTGACTCATCAATCCATTCAACAGGAATCCTGGCCAAGTGCTGGTCACGGTGAGGGACTCGGAGCTTAAAGTCAACCGGTGCAGAGGGAGAGACAGAGTGTGCTGGGAGTGGGTACCGAGCCAGCAGCCCCAGAGCCACTGGAAAGCCTCACACACGCCTTGGCAGGCTGGAGACAGCGGAGCCCTGGACAGTGGAATATTCTGCAGAGGCACAGGGAACTAAAGGGGAGCTGTAGACCCAGGACAGCTGGGGAGCAAGGGCCAGGGAAAGACGGTAGAGAGAGACCAGCAAGTTGGATGAAGTACTTTTTATACACTCATTCATTTGTTCACACGTTCATTCATTTCTCCACTTACTCTACAAGCATTCTTCAGGAAACAACTGAGAGCCATGTGACCTTCCAAGCTCAGGGACAGACCAGATTCCTGCTTGGGTGGCTTCTGTTCTGGTGGTGGGCTGCGGTATTGAACAAATGGAGCCAGTAAACGCAAGTCGGGGTGACTGATGCTCGTTAAAAAAATAGAGCCAAGGATGCATGAGGCGCTGTAGTAGAAAGGGTCCTGGGGGAAGTCCTTTGAGTAGGGCATTGGATTGAGGTCCAAATCAACAGTGAAAGTTGTGGGTGTCTGGGGAGGGCTGGGGGCAGATGGAGAAGCCCTCGCAGGTGCTCTGCTGCCTAAGGCTGCTCGCTGGGCACCTGGAGGAGCAGAGGCTGAAGGCCGGTGGAGGTTGTTCTGCCCTCTATGCTCCTAGGTCCCTTCCCCAGGGTGCTCCCTGGATCAAGTCCAACAGGGATCCTCCACTGTTCCTATGCCATGGCAGACGTGAAACACGGTCATGCTGGGGTAGCATGCTGGAAGGAAAGGTGGACAGGTGAAAGCTTCCAGTACCCAGAGCTGAGCCCTGGCCCAATTCCGCTGCCCAGAGGGCTGCAGGGAGGCGCTTGGTGTCCTGAACAGGGCTCTGAGAGACAGTATGATGCTGGAGGAACACCCAGGGGAGGACACGCAGAAGACAGAAAGAGCTGCCATCTGAGCACTACCCCCGACTCAGGGCAGATCAGCCCTGGCCAGGATGGGAGGGATGAGCAGCCAGCCCACCTGTGCAGTGAAGCACGCAGGCAAGGCGTGCAAAGGAGCTGATGCTCAGCGTCTTCAAAACCAGATGCAAATCTCACCTCAGAGCCAGTGGGCTCCTCGGAAGGTCTGGTCAGGGAGGAAGGGGCACGCTCTCAGCTAAGAATGAGGAGATATCTCTGGAGCCAGCAGTGGGGCTTCTGTCCACCATCAGTGGAAGCAGGGCGACGCCTTAGGGCTTTTCAGCAGAGAGAAGCCCAGAACGCGCAGCCTGACTTGATTTTCTCCCCACGCCTGGGTTACAGGCTTAGGATGTGAAAGACTCAAGATGACATCATTCCTACCTTGAAATAAGAACAGCTTCGACATTGCACACCCACTGGGTACCGACCTTCCATTAACATGCAAGTAAGAGCAATTCCCAAGAGAGAAGCACAATGTCAGGTTGCTTTTCTCAACTACTAAAATGGTCAAGGGGGAAGCAGTCCAGGGTGGCCCATTGGCTCCCGGGTGCCATCAGGGACATGGCCTCCTCAAATCTTTCTGCTCAGCCAGTCCTAGGCTGCCTCAAAGACACAAGACGGCAGCCACACCTCCAGCATTGCATCCGCATTCTCCACAGAGGACAGGAAAGGGCAAAGGCAGGAGCCAGCCAAACATGTTCCTGTGAAAGGGCCTTTCTCAGAATTCACACAGGCACTTTCACTGGCACTCCCTGGCAAGGACTGGGTCATATGACCACGAAGCTATAAGAGAACTGGGACGAGGCACCGTTTTTCACCCCATTTCTTTTATTTTGCTTGACTTTGTGGTGAAATCTGGGCATATGGTTTCCACAGCAACCTCTGAAGTAAATACTGCATCTTCCCTGTGAAGACACTGAGTCTCAGGGAGACTGCCCACCTTCCCCAAATTACCTGACACTCTGGCAGCTTCCAATCCAAGCAAGTGATTTCTCGGGTGTCCTCCTGAGTCCTTTGCCGTTCAGCCCTTCCAAGGTACTTCCAGCTCTCCAGTGATCCTGGCAGGGCCACAGATCCCATGTGGTTAGGACTGATGGCATCTGAATTAAAACTTATCTATGTGCTCAAAGTAAACCCCTAATTTTGCATTAACCTGACACTTGGTGCTTGATTTATTTTAGTGTTTGTGGTAATTGTTTTTGAATTTTTTTAAGATAAAGGGGACAGAGAGTACACGGCAGCAGAATGCAATTGACAGTAAGTGCTTATTATGTAATTATGGACTTTTTAATATGCATATTTTTCTCTGTGGTTGGTAGCAACTAGATACATAATTACTGAATTTTAAAGAAGAATATTATCTACAAAGCCTTCTGGCTGCTGACACATAGGAAAGATTCTTGCCTGGTTTGTGGCTAAATTCTCTTAACAATTCACGGCCTGCGAAGGTGAGGGCAGCCTTGGAGAGTGACGAGAACCGGTGCCGTGGGGGGGAAGCTGGTGCCACTGAAGGTGTTTTTAAGGCACAAATGCACCTTCTGATTCTCCAGCGAGCACGGGAATTGTTTTAGTCAGCCCAGGCTCTGTAACAAAATACCATGGAAATTCATTTCTCACGGTCCTGGAGGCCAGGAAGTCGAGGTGCCAGCAGAGCCAGCGTCGGCTGAGGCCAGTGCCCCATAGAAGCTGGTGCTGTGTGTGTCCTCCTGCAGTGAAAGGGGCGAGGGAGCTCTCTGGGCCTCTTTCTTAAGGGCACCAATCCTTTCCAGGAGGGCTCGGCCCCATGGCCTCATCACCCCCGAGAGGCCCCATCTCCTAATACCATCACCTTGGGGGCGAGAATTTGACAAATACATTAAGAAACCTTTAGACCACAGCAGGAATGATGTGATGTCCAGAGAGGGGCTGGGCTTGGAGGTGTCCTGGTGGTAACTTCCAGGAGGGAAAGAACAGTCATTGGGTGGAAACCAAAGGTAGGATAAGAAAGATGCCAGGCGGAAGGGTGGCTGCTGGAGGGCTGGATTCCAGAGGCTAGTGGGGCTGAGGCAGCGGGGAGACCAATGCAGAGCAAGGCGGAATCCGGCAGAATCACACAGACTCACGCAACAGTGCAGGGCCCAGAAGCAAAGCCAGTGGCGTCCCAGGAGAGGCTTCCCTCTGCTCCCCTCTGAGGCAGATGCCAGGGCTCTCAGGCCAGGCCCGGGAGCTGCTTCCCACTCCAGGTCCCCGCACACATGGTTTCCACACTTGAAGCCTGACGTCCCTTCCTGTTGCTTTCCAGGTGAGCAGGGGCTGGGGCCTGACCAGGCAATGGGGTGAGGTGCCTAAACCCAAGCGTCTGCCTGTGGCCACCTCTCAGGGGCCTCTCCCAGGTTCCCAGTGGCCACCAGACCTGCCTGTGGCCACCTCTCAGAGGCCTCCCCCAGGTTCCCGGCGGCCACCAGACCTGCCTGTGGCCACCTCTCAGGTGCCTCCCCCAGGTTCCCAGCAGCCACCAGACCTGTCTGTGGCCACCTCTCAGGGGCCTCCCCCAGGTTCCCGGTGGCCACCAGACCTGCCTGTGGCCACCTCTCAGGGGCCTCCCCCATTGAGCACCCAGGTGCTGGGGCTTGCCCTGCGTCTCCGGGTTCCAGGATGCAAAGGAGCTGGCGTCGGGCAATCTGAACAGTTGGCCTGGTGGCTGCCCCCACCCGCGTCTTATCTTCCTTTGGGAGTGGTGGGGCAACCCTGGGCAGGTCTGATGTGGGGCAGGCAGACCCCAAAATGGGGGCTTAGCCCAGGTCTGTTACTGGTTTTGCCCCTGAAAGAATTCCAAGGTGAGCGGGTGCTGTAGCAGCTTTTATTGCTGCAGCAGCCGAGGGGGCTGCTCCCAGTAGGGCAGGACTCCCCGTGGGCAGTGCACCCAGGACAGCAGCTCAGAGGCAGCCCCGAATCAGATTTATAGCCACTTTTAACTACATGCTCGCTAACGGTTGGTTTATGCAGAAGTTTCTAGAAAAGGGGCAGAAACCTCAGGGTCATTGGGTTTTTACCATGGAAAGTGGCAGTAACTTCTGGGTCTTGCCATGGCAATGGTAAACTAAACAAGGCTCACTGGTTGGCACATCTCACAGGTGGCTGCTGCCACCGGCCCTGTTTCAGCTGCTCCTCCACATGGTCTGGTGTCCGTGCCCTGCCTCGGAGTCAAGCCCGCCTCCCCCTTCAGGTCCTTGGCACTGCCTGTTGGCTTTGCCCTGGCAGGTGCACTGGGGGACAAAGGGGCAGCAAGGCTGCTGCTGGCGCAGGCATCCCCATCCCTAAGACGCATGTGGAAGGCGAGTGGGCCTGGGTCCGACCTTTCTTACATGGTTGCCCTGTGTCTGCAGCCAGGGTGGGCTCCTCCGGCAGAGCAAACCCTGTTTACCTCGAGTGGGGACCCGGCGGTGCAGCTTCACACTGCTACGCTCTGCACTCCACTTGTTCACCTCCCCCATTCGTCACCACCCAGGTGACGCCTGCTGAGGAAACGTCCAGTGTGACCTGAGGCCCGTGTGGGGGCGGCACCCACCTTCCTCCTGCTCCTGTTCACTCCCACTCCATGGGACGCCCGCCATGTCTGTGTTTCCCTCTGGGCCCACAGGGATCCTGCTGCTTTAACAGGAAATCCCTCCCCTCCCAAACCTCTGAGCCTCTGACCTGGCAGGGGGACTTGATCACAGCAGAACCTTCTCCGCACCCTCAGGTCACCCTGCTCCTCTCCTGGCCGTGACACTAGGGTCACTGGAGACCTGGCAGCTCTTCAGGTGGGCAAAGTAGGCCAAGGGGGCCACTGCAGTGCTGACCAGTTCATCATCCGGGCAGTGCCCGTCCATCTGCTGAGATCGCCTCTCACTGCAGGGCTGTGTTGGTGTCTGGGTCGGGCACTGGCCCCTCACCCCAGCCCTGAGGGTTCAGGAGGACTCAGCTTTCCTGGGTCGGGTCTCACCTTCCCTTCCTGACCTCAGGTGTCTGCCTCCAACTCCACCAGATTCTGAAGACAAGGGACGAGACGGCCGACCTCTGGAAGACCAGCTGTTGTGGGCGAGGGAAGCAGGGGAGACCCTCTTCCTTTTTCTTGTCGAGGATCCAGCGCGAGAACCTCCTTCAGCCTCTCTGGCAGGTTGTCCTGCCTCCTGGGTCCCGCTGTCAGAAGGAGATGGGTTTGCTTTTGACTGACTTCACGCAGCTCATGTGGTGCCTTCCACAGCAAGGATTCCTCCGCTCCTCTGGGTCCTTCTCCCGCTCCTCATGGTCACGGCCACCCTTTTGCCCAGGCAGTTTTCTTAGCAGCTGCCCAGCCCCCGTCTGTATCCCTCCCATGGGCTCTGAAGCCCTTGATCTTTCTTTTCTCAGCGTTTATCATGGAGGATGGAAGGACCCACCTGCTAACAGTCCTCTGCTCAGGAACACCACGGGGCCAGACTGGGCGTATGACGGTCATGAGCCTGTGCAGTGCCCCTGGATAGGTATCAAATAAAAGAGTGTTCATTCAGGGTGTGCTGAATGAATGAATACATGAAAAAATGGTTGGGGGGTGGGGAATGAACAGATTTCAAATTCTCAGGCTGCACTTTCCAAATCTGACACAACCATATTCAGCTGCTTGTCAAGACTATTTGAGAGCCACCCCTTTCCCGCATCCCCAGCCCCCTGAGCAGCCATGACTGCTGTCACATCTGCCTCTTGATGTCTCTGGGCCTGGGGAGTTACCCACACACACTGAACATCAAGGTCAGTATTTTTAGACGCAACTCTTTAATTTTTGAAAATGCTCGGAAGAGATTTCAGTGATGGGTACATATTTGATAAATATAAATAAATGTAAGAGCTATAAAAACAAACTTCCCTAAAACCTATCTGTTCTATTAACCATCTCCTGGAGGCCCACGCACATGTTCTGTGGAACGGGTGGGTACCCCGCAGCCCCTGAGGCTTGGGGAGGGAAGCCCTGGTGAGGCCAGCAACAGAGTTGATGCAGGAAGTGCCACGTCTGTCCCGGGGCCTAGAGCCTGCACTATGTCATCTGGCCCAGACCTGAGGCCACGTCGTGCCCCAGACTCAGGGTTCTGAGGAGCTGGCAGAGCCCCCAGGGGTGAGGCAGAGCCAGCAGAGCGAGAATCTCCCCAGCAGATGGGAAGCGTGTGCCCATTCACCTCTATGCCGGCACAAGGCCTGGCCCTGCAGGTGTACGGGAAGGTGAGTGCAAGGGCGCGGCCCTCTGTGAGCTCACAAGCCAGAGGCCAAGACCCTCGGACAGAGCATTGTGGGGAGTAAGTGCTGGGAGGCATTTGCAGAGCCCAGAATGGGGGTTCCCAGTTGGGACCCTGACCCTGGAAAGGGCCGTTAAGCTGAGGGCCGAGCTGGGAGCAGGTGCATGGGTCTAGGACAGGAGCCTCTCCCACAGGGAGACAGCACACGCACGTGGCCTGGGCTGGGAGCCTGTGAACCACTTGGGAGCTGGATGTGTGGATTCAGAATGCCCGGCCGTGGAGGTTAGGCCGGCGACAGGAGAGCTGTTTGGCGGAGCGGGGACCAGGGACACCCAGTAGCCTCAAGTGCTCTGTGCTCTGGGCTTCGTCCAGAGGGTGGTGAGGAGCCACTGATGTGTGCCCCCCTAACAGAGCTTGCAGGGGGAGGCTCCTCCTCCTCCCTCCCACCCTGTGGCCTCATCACCCTCAGAGCATCACCATCTTCCTAGTGGCCGAGGTAAGAAGCCAGAACTGTCCCTGTTGCCTTCCTCTGGGACGCTGCTCTGATACTGCGCCTGCTGGACCTTTCTTTCTTGGCCAAGGGCACCCTGGTTGGCATCCCTACCCTGGTTGGCATCCCTGCATCTGTCCTCTCTACATGGCACTGGCTCACACTCTCGCTCCCTTCACCAAAGCCCCCACCTGCGGCCCTGTCTCTGGCCTTCCCCAAGCCCACAGAGGAATCTGCATCAGTGGGTCAGACTCAGCCTGGCTCCCCAGCTCCTCGGTGGCTTCCCATGGCCTCAGGCTGAGCTCACAGCTCGGGGGGCTCCCTCTCACCCCAGCCTGACTTTCTCTGTGCGGGTCTTTCTTGTGCTGACTGGCACCCACGTCTCGCTCCAGCTCCTCCATGTTCCCATCGCTGTAGTCCAACACCTCCTCCTCCAGGGAACCCTTCCAGATCCCTCAACCCCAAGTGGACTTTCCCAGTAGCCCCTCAGGACACTCTGCATCCTTCCTGCAGAGCCACCATGAGGAACCTACAACAAGGAGTTATTCGACGTGCAACAAGTGCTCAGTAAATATTTAAGGAGACAGTGAATGAATGAATGTATTTCTACCCCCTCAGCTCTCTGGGTTACATGGTGGACAGTCCATAGAAGATGAATAATGTGTACATTTTTAATTGAGTTAAACTCCAAGCGTTTTTACCCTCAGCATTCATGCATACACTTAAATATTGAAATAACCAAATGCACAAAATCTTCTGTGGTCATGGTTCTCATTTTGCATGAATCGCTTCTGTCCGGAAGTGGGCATCCCTGTGTAACAGCCATCGGAGGGCGTGGGAACGGACAGGGTTCATGCCCTGCAAACATCTGGAAGTGGCGTTGACTTCCCTGCCAGTCCGAACGAGTGCGCAATGTAGGTAAATCCTCTTTTGACTAACAGGTCTACGCTGGCCCATTAGGATCCACAGGAATGAACAGGAATCCCTTTGGGAATTTTTCAAGGCTTACGGGGTAAATTTCCCATTGCTTCAGTAAAAACTTAAAGCTGGTCTTTCTGCAGTCTTTCACCCGAAGCTGTTGGTCTTTTTGGGTTTAGCAACCACCCTGAAAACCTGCACGCTCATTTGAATCGTTGCATCTTCACGTTTTGAATATTCTGCGTCTCTCCCTGAAGGTTCAGGAGAAGAGGTCCAAAGGCACCACCTCTGCTTCACTGCAGCGAAACCCTCCCACCGCGGCCCCCAGCCCCTCCAGGGATCCACAGCGTTCACTGCTCGCTCACAAATACGGCACACGCAAGGAAAGTTAATTTACTGGTTTACCTGCTTCTTTTTCTTCTCCCGCTTTGCCCTGCTTGATTCCATTTAAAAATGTTTCTACTTCATCCATCAGTGAGCTCCCTGTGTCGGCTAGAAAGCCTCTTTAGAAGCGTGTTTAGCATCTTTCGATACCGATATCTATTTCAGAGACTCTTTGCTCCTCCAGTATCTGCCTTATCTCCTTTACTGTTTTTCATTATTTGTCGCAGCTATCTGCCTCATCACTCTCTGCATTTTTAATATCCTCTTTGTCTCCTCCACTTCTGTATATTCTTGTTTGCTCAGTAAGCCTCATTCAATATTTCATTGTATGTGTTAACTGTTAACTCAGCCCTAATTAATCTCACTTTTCAACTTGGTTCAGTTTAAGGTTCCAGACATGTCAATATGAAGGGTGTATTTGGGGGGCGCGAGAAGTTCAACAGCAAGGGGATTTACAGTGCCACATGCAGTCTCATTTTCTCGCAGAAATCCAAATTGCTTTGCCTTTTCCTTCAGACAGACATTTTCCTTTGTTTCCGACTTGCCCCTTGGGTGCAGGACATCTGTGTGGACGCACTGCCAGCAGACACGCTGGCCACTCCTCCACCGAGGGTCAGGAGAACTGAGGAGGCATCTCCCTGCCCATGGGCAGTGCCACAGGAGCTGCACTCAGGCTCCCAACCTTCACAGGCGCGTAAGGTGCACTGAGGCATACTCAGAGCCCCCTGTCACCTATCCATGTGGGTGAGGACATGCTGGGTGGTCTGATGGCTCAGTACCAGGCAGACCACTTGACTGTGATAGTGTCTTCAGGAAATCCTGGAAACAAGACAGAGGTTTGAAAACCTCACTGCAAATACACAATAAGCTATGTACACATAGTGGTATACATATGCACGCACATACATGCACGTCCACAATCCATGTTCCTATGCACCTGTTTCCGCACATGCATGTTCATGCACATATATTCCCTGCAAATGTTTGTCAAGCACATGCCAGATGCCTCATGCTGTTCCAGGCACTGGGACTGAGCCATGAACAGCTGATATAGACAGTGTCCCTATTCTTACAGATCTCGTATTCTAGAGACTGGAGATGGACAGGCAGTGACAAATGAGCCAACACATATATACTACATTAGGAGAACGTATTAGTCCATTCTCACACTGCTAATAAAGACGTACCAGAGACTGGGTAATTTATAGAGGAAAAAGGTTTGATTGACTCACAGTTCAGCATGGCTGGAAGGTCTCGGGAAACTTAAAATCATGGCAGAAGGGGAAGCAAACACATCCTTCTTCATGTGGCAGCAGCAAGGAGAAGTGCCTAGAAAAAGGAGGAAAAGCCCCTTATAAAACCATCAGATCTCAAGAGAACTCACTATCACGAGAACCACAGCATCTGGGCAACCACCCCCATGATTCAATTACCTCCCACGGGATCCCTCGAACAATACGTAGGGATTATGGGAACTACAATTCAAGATGAGATTTGGGTGGGGACGCCAGCAAACCATATCAGAGGGGTAAGTGCTATGAAGGAGGGAGGGAGGAGAGCAGATATGGGCACACAGATGGAAGAGGTATACGTTAACCAAGCGTCAAGAGAAGGCCTGCCCCATCAGGGCTTTCAGTCAGAGCCCTCCAGTGGGACAGTGAATTCTGTGCACAGCTAGGAAACATCTCAGCGACAGAGACAGGGAGCACAGGGTCCTGTCCAGATGTACACACTGCACGTTTGCACACACACTGTGAACAAGTGTCTGTGCATGCTCACACAGTGAACCAGCACATCTACCCAGATGCACACATCTGTGCATCTACACGGGGCGCAGGACTCTGTATCCAGATACAAGCGTGTGCACAGAGACGCACAGGAGCAGATGCATGTGCAGAGGATGAGAACCCGAGCTCGCGGACCAGACCCGCCCGGCCTCCGTGCTGGGTAGCTGCCCCCGCATCCTCAGGCACTGCTGGGCAGTGACAGAGATACCAGCTAAGCCTTTATCTGTTGGAAAGGCAGCATCTCATTTGCCTTTTAAAAAATGAAACATTCCAAGCCCAGGAAAAAGTGAATCATCTATAAAACGGCGACTCCCTACCACTCAGAGTTAGTCATTTTTGAAATATTTGCTTTTTTCTTAAGAAACAAAACCTTGCAAATGTAGTTGAAGGACTGGCCTCATATCCCTGAAGGCTGCCGTGGTCTCTGCCTGGTGCCCCAGACCTTCAGAGGCTGAAATTTTCCAAAAGTGCACGTGTAGCCAGCCTCCTTCCCTTTCCTTTTTTTCAAATTCTAACGCGTGTGTGGTCATAAGCCAGGTGGAGTTAGGTTTTCTGTGTTTTAATAAACAGACAAATGGTTTCATGTTGCACGTTTCATTGTACACCTTGCTTTAACAAACGTGTCTTTGATATTGATCCAAATTGTTACACAGAGATGCAGCCCATTCATTTTAACTTCTTTGTAACTTTCCCTTGGAGGGATAAGCTACATCCAGGCTGGGTTTCTGTTTTCTTTATGACAACCAATTCTTGTTTCAGCACTTGGCTTGATACACGTGAGTGAGATATTGTCAACTCTTCTCCAGTATGTCCTTGCACGTTTACAGTCTCATCTCCTGCAGGCTCCTGCTGCTCCCCTGCTCCGTCAACAAGGGGTATTGTGGAACTTTCTACTTTTAGTAATCCCATGGATACGATGTGGCATCTCATTACAGTTTTAATTTTCTTGATTAACAGTGTGGGGGAACATATTTTCTGTGCTTGTTAACTAGCTCTTCAAGCTCCCTGGTTTGTCATGATCTGTCCTTGTCCTTCACTCAGGCTTCTGCAGAGGAGATGAAATCATTTTCTTAAATGATTCATAGCAATGCTGTGTATGTTTCGAAAATGCGTTTTTGCTTTTCATATGTGTCACAAATGTCTTCTGGGTCTGTGGTTTTCATTTTCCTCAGAAAATGCTCAGTGATACAGGACATTTACTTTTCATGTGGTCATTTTAAAACTGACTTTTGGCCCGGCACGGTGGCTCACCCCCGTAATCCCAGCACTTTGGGAGACCGAGGCAGGTGGATCACCTGAGGTCAGGGGTTCAAGACCAGGCTGGTCAACATGGTGAAACCCCGTCTCTATTAAAAATACAAAAATTAGCCGGTGGTGGTGGCGGGCGCCTATAATCCCGGCTACTCAGGAGACTGAGGCAGGAGAATCGCTTGAATCCGGGAGGCGGAGGTTGCAATGAGCCGAGATCGTGCCATTGCACTCCAGCCTGGGCGACAGAGCAGGATTCTATCTCGATAAATAAATAAATATTTACTTTTCAGATTGCGTATGAGAAACTCTTTCTGTTCTTAGGTCGTAAAGACCGTCTCCATCGCTTCTTCCGTTGGTGGGGCGGCCTCTCCTCTCACCATAGTGACCCCGAAGCACCCAGAGTTCTCTGGCCACGCGGGACTCTAAGTCAGGAGTCAGCGAACAAGCGTTGGCACCGAACAGCCCAGAGGAAAAGCAGCCTCGGTCTGTTACCTTACGTTGGTTCCCCAGAGCCTGGTCCCTGCAGCCTGCGGGGAGAGACACAGGCCCCCACTCTGAATCCGGGCAGAGTCACAGCGTTTGCCCCTGTGTGGTTTAAACTGCCACAAGCGCTACGTTTAATTGTTTCGCCTGTTTCCGTGTGCTGCCATTTTTGAGGTCTCCACCACGTTCCCCTGGCCCCGGCCTAGACCCGGGCCTCTACCCCGGGGTCTTGCTCCTCCGTGGCCCTGGCCCGCCGGGCCCCTGTGCGCCTCTTTTCCTGGCCCCAGGATGCAACCAGCTGCTTTTCATGAAGCTCAACCCATGCCGGGCGCGGTGGCTCACGCCTGTAATCCTAGCACTTTGGGAGGCCGAGGCGGGCGGATCACAAGGTCAGGAGATCGAGACCACAGTGAAACGCCGTCTCTACTAAAAATACAAAAAACTAGCAGGGCGCGGTGGCGGCGCCTGTAGTCCCAGCAGCTTGGGAGGCTGAGGCAGGAGAATGGCGGGAACCCGGGAGGCGGAGCTTGCAGTGAGCTGAGATCCCGCCACTGCACTCCAGCCTGGGCGGTAGAGCGAGGCTCCGTCTCAATAAAAAATAAAAAAAAAGAAACTCAACCCCGGCTCGGGGGGGCCCAGAGCTTGTGTTACTAACCCTGAGGGTGTTTCCAGGGGTGTGAGGGGTGGGACGCGCGGTCCGGCCTCAGTCCTGGGCCTGGCCCCGGCCGACTCCGGAGAAGCCCGGGAGCGCGCGTCCCCGCGGCCCCGCTCAGCCCGGCCTGCCTCTCCCTCCGCACAGCGGCGCCGGGGCTGGGTGCAGCCTGGCCGCGTCCTCCTCTTCTCGCGGTTTTGAATTCTTCTTGTGCGACGTTGTATCACACAAATTCGGGGATGAGGTGTTCCGAGCACGCCCTCACCGAGCCACGCTCCCCCGGTTCCCCTCTAGAGCTCCCGCTCGCATCCCTTACCCGGGACCGCAGCCTGCGGGACTCCCAAACCCACGCCCTCAGGGAGACGCGGCCGCGCCCCGCCCGCGCTCAGCACCACGGGAAGGAGGGCAGCAGGCGGAAGCCCCGGCCATCTTGGGAAGGGCCTTCAGTGTGTTCCGCTGAAAACCACAGACCCATGCTTCAGACGCTACAGATTTCCCTCTCAAATGCCTGCATTTAAAATATAAAATGTGTGTTTGAGCAAACAGCAAAATATCTTGGGAAATTCTCCCAGCGAGGCTTTCGATGAGCCCGTAGGAAAAGCCAGGCTGCTCCCTGCTGCGCCTCCAGTGAGCCTCCCAGCAAGCAGGACGCTGGGAAGAAGGGCAAAGGGTGCTATTTTGCATAGAATTTAAATAAAATTGCTTCGCAGACCGGAAGCCTCAGGCGGGCAGCACTCCGGGCCCGGGCGTGTTTTTAGTGCCTGAATGACGTCGCGATTCAGTCCGAGTTCCCGCCTGGGCTCAGGGTCTTCAGAACTGCTGTGGGGCTGTGACATGGTTTATAATCAGGAGAGAAACAGTGAGAGCTTATATCCAAGGAAGTGTTTTCAGACACAATGTTAGCATATTTGTGTCTATGCCGGTCCCGGCGGGAGGCTGAGGCAGGAGAATCGCATGAACCCGGGAGGCGGAGGTTGCAGTGATGAGCCGAGATCGCACCACTGCACTCCAGCCTGGGGGCTCCGCATCAAAAAAAAAAAAAAAAGTTCAGACGACGATGAAGCTGAATTTTCCTGTTTTACAGTCCCCGTTCCTTATGATTAAAAGCAGCTGGGGGTGCAGCCTCCTTTTTCCCGGCCATTTTCTGTGCATCCACAGAAACACATAGCCCTGTTTACATCCCTGTTACGTGTTGGTCGTGACTCGCTTCAGTCCACACCTGTCTTGAAGATCCCAGGGTGTGGTTGCACGTGGACCTGCTGCCTTCCTTCCTGGGTGAGTAGGCATTCGTTAAATTTGTGGCTGCCCACCCTCCAGCCATCCCTCAACCTACAGTCACTACCCACCCGGCCCTGCTGCTTGGGAGGCTTGTATTTGATTGTGGAGGGGGAACTCATAATAAACCAACAAATAAATATACCAATGCTGCCATCTGCATCAGCGATAAGAGAGGTGGAGAAAACCCTGGCCGTGGAAGGAGTGGCTGGGGTGTTCTAGCCTTCGTGGTGAGAGACAGCTCTCACGGTGCCGTTTTAGCAGAACCATAAATGCTCTTGTGTCCTAGGGCAGGAAATGGGACATGGAGTTGCTAGGTCAGTGTGTATGCACGTTATTAAATGTCGATCTTTAAAGATATTAATTATGAAATATTTAAACATACATAAAATTCAGAAAACATTTGAATAAGGTCTGTAGGCACCCACCAAGAATAAGTCCATGTAAGCACAATTGACCATTGCAAAGAGAGGGAAGCAACCTGAGTGCCCATCAGCCGGCGAGTGGATAAGAAAATGTGGTGTGTAAACACCACGGAATACTATTCAGCCATGAAAAGGAAGGAAATAATGTCTTCTGCAGCAACCCCATTTAACTTTTTTAGAATGTTCTACTTACGGCTGAAGCCTTGCTCCTGGGCCTCCCCCCTCCCCCAGCCTTTATAAATAGTTCTTTTTTATCCTCAAGGGTGGTTTTAGGCATTGCAAATATCTTCTTCCAGTCTGGAGTTTGTATTTTCCCTGTGTCAATGTTGTTGTCTTTTGCCACTCAGTTTTAAATTTTGTTGTATGCAAATCCATCCAATATTTTCTTTGTGGTTAG